GAGAGAGAGAGAGAGAGAGAGAGAGAGGGAGAGGGAGGATCTGCCACGGAATCGGAATCTCATTTACTTCGACGGATAAGTAGAAAAGTTGCCGACATGCAGAGTACGGGTTTTTTTTCTTTCTTTTTTTTTCTTTTTTTCTTTTTTTGACGCGACGAGTACACCACGAAAGGAGATCGAAAGTCGTCCAACAGTTTTCAATTGCAGTTTTACGAATCCGCGGAAATTCCGCTCATTAAATGCCAAGCTCCACTTCGATGCGAGGCTGTGTTAAAGAATATCCGTGAAGCATATGATGCTGTGATTTTAGTGACAGTGTCGAGTGAAACTCGAGTGCAACTGTTCCTTGTAAATGAGACTTTCCAAACGAGAGTTCCATCTTTAGAGCACTATCTCACTGTTAGTCTCAATTAAACTGCATTTTATATATTTATGCGAAACTTAAGGATTCACAATTCCTAATAAGTGAAATAAAATCTCCATTCAAACTCCGTCTCTTATCTCAAAAAATATCAACTTGCATAAAAATTCGCAGTCCAGTTGTAGTCGTTACGAGAATCAGAGAAACTTTAAAATCGCGTGCTCGTCGAATTCTGATTAATTTCCATTGTCGGGGGAGAAATTCGCGCGCTTAGGTCCGAATATCGAGAAGGAAGCAGGACGCACCTCAAGGCAGCTCCGTTACCGGGGCATTAACTTCCAAGAGCATACATCCTGGAAAGTTCTCGGCCGAGCCGATTCGTTCACAGGAAAGTTACTTCCTCGTAAACAACAAGTAGTTACCTACTCGAGGAACGCTCTAGCGGGCTACTTTCGTCTGTGCGCGTGCCATGTACGAACACGGGAGTCACAAGAACGTGGAGTATGTCCGCGAAAACTGGAACTCGTAAACCATCGCCACCTTCGTTGAAAGTCGGTAACTCGGGGCTACCTCCGAAAGAACTAGTCGTACGAAACGTCTTCGAATGAATTTTGACAGACGACAAACACAGGTTACTCGAGAACACGTATTTCTTTGGAGTTACGTCCAAGAAACATAATTAGGGATTCTATTTTTGTCACTGATACAGTCTGTGTGCGCATTTAACCCTGAAACGAATATTGTAGATGGCTGTAATAATTTATCTCAAATTGTTGAAATTTTGAGTATTTTGAGTATTTAATTTTACTTTCTTTCTGATATCGATTAATAATAAAATCGAAATCTCAAAATTATGTAATGTAAAAGTCTAAATTGGCTACGATAGTGTTGAATGATTCTAGTTAAAGGTTAAATTAAATGGAAGTCTGACTAAGCGTGTGCTTGTACTACTTGGCCTGTTCAGTGGCTATGCCATTCGACCATCTGACTATGTACGACCTTTTCTACTTACAAACTTGATACATTTTTCTACTTAATAGAACTTGCTCAATCGTTGATTGTACTTGATTTTGATATATATTTGACATTCTTTCTACTTCCAAATCTGTTGAATTATATTATACGTTACACTAATTTGGAAATTTACAGCAAAATTTCTTTCTTTAAATCAAATACTTTCCCCAATGCGTTTTGTTACTCTACTCGTCAGTCGTAACAATACATCTGCACAGATTGCAGAAAATTTCAAGTTTACTATTTCTTCTTTCTTCTACTATTTCTTCTATTTTTTCTTTCTTGATTACTTCGTGTAATACAGCGAGATATTCTGTACGACATATTTTCTTCCACTCTCGATACATGCACAAATTTTT